TGTACTGAAGGTGACTGTGCATGCGGAGTGGCAGGATTCCTAGGGGGAAAGGATTTGGCAAGAGGGTTCAGCGGCATGAGTGTTCAGGAGGAGATAATTTACAGAAGAAAACGGTATATACAGATAGGGTAATAGATGGGCTGGGTTCATAGAATGTGGACAGTTTTCTACGAGTACTTACTCAGTCAGGAGCTGCTGGCAGCTTCGGCAGCTTCAACTCTCTCTGCCAGCTTCTTGGGCTCACGGTTTGAATACTCCTCAGCCCACGCAATTTGCTGGTCGTTCAAGGCAGAGGCAGGTGGTTCAGTGCGCTCCAATAGGACATTGGCGGAGAAGGTGTGTTTGCCTGCTGCGAGTCTGAAGCCTTCTTCATCAGGAGAGGTGGTTGTCCCGCTGCTCTTTTCTTTGTCTCCAGGTTGGCTGAAAGCCGGCACATGGTTACTGGTATCAGTTGTGCCAGTGCTGGCCCCATTCAAAAGTGTTTGAGGCAGTGTTCAGCCCTGTGTTGCTAGCTGCACCTGTCTCCACACTGACGGCAGCTGGCTCTACAGTGGCTTCTGCGGGCTGGCTAGTCACCGTACCCGTATTAGTGGCCGTACTGACCCTGGGAGGGTTGGTACTCGTACCGGTTGTGTTGCGGTGCTGTGCTTGTGGAAGCCGGGAAGCTAGCTAGCTGTAGACTGTTCCCCACGGTTGGGACATGCTTTAGCCTCGTGGCCACTGTTGTTGCAGCGCCAAATTGTTTGCTGTTGGCCACGGTGCCATACTCGAAGTTTCAACTGACCTACGGTAACCGTAGATGGAACTGGTGATCGGAGGACCAGGCTGAGAACACGGGTGCCAGTACTTATTTCCAATCCCTCAAACAATACTTTTTCTGTTGAGGCGACCGAACAATTCGGCCGAATTGGCCCAGCGCAGCACACAATTTACTGTTTTGAAGCCCGACAGGGCACCCAAACACATGCAGATGGGTTAAGTCCACCCCGGAAATATCGCAGAGCACCTGCTCGGTCACACTACGGCAAAAATGCTGCGTCAGCGTCAGAATCATGAGCTTTTCCATGGCAACTGACGCAACGCGGGAAGTTTGAGCGTCAGACGCTGCTGCGTCTCACGTGGGGAAATCGGCTGCGTTGCCGCTGGTGGGAGTGACGCTTGGCGAAAAAACAGTGTCTTTCAAGTAAAATTAGTTTCAAGACTTTTGTCTTTGCTTGAGTTGAGCAGTTATTCGACATTCGTCTGTTCAAGGTTTGTTTTGCTCCCTCTTTTTGTTCGAGATGAGTCCGTGGACCTACGAGGCCGAGGCTGCTCTGCTCCGAACCTGGCGGAAGAGCGAGGCGTTTTCTGAGAAGAAAATGATGTCGAGAAAGGACCAGTTGTTTGAGTGGGTCATCGGCCAACTGGAGCCTGTTGACTTGTGAGTGTTGTGTTGTCGTCAAGAGCCCCAAAAAGGACAACCAGTATGACGAAGTCAGGAGAAACACAGCTGAGATGCGGACTTTTCTTGCCTGATCAATGACACTACAACTGAAAATGGCTTCAAATTCGGAAAGAAACAACAACGATCGTGCACGCGTGGAGCTACATGTAGTACCTTTCGTCTTCTTGTAATCAAAAATCAATGAAAAATTCGAAAACTTTGTCCGACAATTTTTTTGTATAATAAGCAAAAGGCCGGTTTTCGTGGGAATCCGTGTCGTCATTGAGTTTTCCTGGTGGTTTTGTGACGTAGACAAATGCGTCAAGCCGCGGCAGTCATGAGCTGCAAAAAAAAAAAAACACTGTGTGACCCCACGTCTCCGTCAAGTGCTGCGGCTTGACGCTGCGTCCAGCTTCAAACTGCCGTAGTGTGACCGAGGCCTTACCGGAAATCCGGATTCCTGCGTCCAGTATCTTTTCCCGCTCAGCAGAACTCTTCACTGTAACAACGCAATGTCCAGGCTTGCCCTGAAGGTCCACCTGGCAGACCTGACATATATCTACCTCACTCTGCTTGAGCGCCTTGGCGTAAAACAAGTGGTCTGCAGACCAGTCCTTCTCAATCCTAAAAGAAAAGGAGGCCGGAGCAGGAGCTCCAAAACTGCCAACCGTCTCCATCGTACACTTCACAAGACTTGGTGATGACCTGAACAAATGTTTCATGAAGTTGGCTGTGGGCACGAAGAGCTGGAAGTGATAGCGACGGATCATCCGGCACAACAACCGAGGCGAACTGCTGGTTGAGGACTGTAGCCTTGTCGAAACTGCCAGAAACTGGATGACCGTCTTCATCAATGAGGTGTGGAAGGCCACTATCCTGCTGACGATTCCGCTGAGAACGAACAAACTGGTACATGTTAAGGTTACCTGACGCAATGCTGGCCTGTATAGATGCCAAATAGTCACGGTGAAGAGATCGAGATAAGTTTCGTACTCTGTTACGCTGAATATTGAAGGCAGACTGGTTAGCTGGGGTTGGGAACTTCCTATATCGGCTGTAGAGTTCGTACTTCAACTTAATGGCAAGTACTAAATCTCGATTAACCCACGGAGGATATTTCCTAGATACAGATCGCCGGGTGGAGGAAGAGATTTTCCGATAAGGCGACAAGTAGTGGGAAAATGCATCATTCAAGGAAGAGGAGAATCTGGCTAATGCGTCGTCGACATCTGGTGTGTCCATGAGATCATACCAGTTGAGCGAGGAAATGTACATATTTACTGCTACCCAGACAGAAGATGGCACTTGCGCAAAATTGTATGGAGTGGCTGGGGAACTACGGGCAGGATAGCATGGCACTTCTTTTGCAGGCGTTCGGGTTACAGATACATATGCTCAGTGTACCCGGTTATACGTGCTTCTGTCGGGATAGGCCAATACCAGCGAACCAAAGGGCGCAGTTCCGAGGTTATGGTGGTGTTGCCATCCTTGTACGAGATGGGACATTTTTGCATGCAGCCCAGCGCTCAAACATTGACTCCTTGGTAGTTTTAGTTTTATTCCAAGCAATACATGGCTGGGGCAGCCAATGACAATTTGCATGGCGATTGCAGGGTTTTATAGCCAGCCACGGCCAGCAAAAAAAGGAAAAAAGAAGGCGAAAAGAAAAGGAAAAAGAGAGCACATAGAAGCAGAACTTCATGTTTTTTTATTAGTGTTTTTTCTCTTCTCTTTTTTTGGCTTGGGCAATTATCATCATGCACTTGTATGTCATAATTGACAATCTTTAGGCATAACCATGTCATCTATATGTTCATAAACGCATCCATTCTCATATTCTGGCATGATTACACGCCTCCGCACAGGACATATTGGAGCGAGCCACATTGGACTCTGTCCACGCACTGTATCGACTTTATTGTTAGCACATACATGAAGAAAACACTATTGATTCATGGTTTTTCTGGAAGTTCAATTTGTCTTTATACCCGTATCCATTAGAATATTCCATTGCAAAGTGAAAACACTCGATAATGTGAAGAGAGTAGGATTTGCTGGGACTGATGGGCGGAACGGTTCAAGTAGACGCTGGAGGCTGAACTACTCTGCCCAACCTGAAGCGTTTTCTCATTCACAGTGACGAGCCTGACATCCCACAACACATATCCATGTACACAGTCACTTCAGACACTTTGTGTGCATGTACGGTCATGAAGTTGCAGGGAGGGTGGAAAACACGTTTTCTGTACACGTGTAGGATAGCGCTATCAGCAGGCGATTTCTGTTTGATTTCTTCTTCGTTTTCTTCCAGCTCAAGAGTACATAACAATATCTCCACGTTTTCCTCTGTTATTGCTCCACTCTACTCTGATGGCATTAGTTTCGTCTCACTGATGCGTAAAAGGATAATAATCCTTTTACGCCATCACCTCTCTCAGTTCAAGTTCAAGTCCTGCCTGGGAGCGGTTTTTCCAGCCGTGCTGCTACCCACAGTCAACTGGGAACTTGTGGCCAGGCACAAGGGGTACATGAATGCAGCTAATGGGGTCGTTTTCGGCACTTGTGCCAGTGGTTGTGAGACTTGCCCACTCACCCCCACCGTTAGGCGCTGCATCTGCCGCTAGGGTTTATCGGGTGTTAGCGGCCGTCGTGAGTTCCCTTCGGGAACGGATACGATAATTTACTTTTTTACTTTACCTCTTTCAGTTGTGGTAGTAGTAGAGTTCCACAACCCCCACCGTCACCACCACCACCAACTTTCATTCATTCTGCATGCATACACGTAACGTTACTGGACTGGTGATTGAGGGTCACGGACTCGGTACTATGTTGCACCATCGCTTTTGGTATGTGCCAAGTACATGTAGCTGGTTTAGAGAGCAATGAATGTGACAATCACTTGGTGACAATTTTTTCTTTCTAAACGCCATGTGGTGCACGTAATGGGAACATGCACCAGCCTTGGTGGTGGGGGCCAGGCGTCCATCGACCAACTGGTCTCGGCATCTTCACGCTCTGTACGCACCAGATAAATGGAAGTATGAAGGAAAGAGAAAACACAGGAGAAGCGGAAAGGGAGGGCGGGGGGGGGGGGGGCATATTGGGAAAGAGAGAGTACATGAGAGCGTGTGGTTCAGCAAAATTCAAGTAGCAGATTTACAAGGCGTCGGTTGCTTGCATCCAGTTGCTGGTCAGCAGGTGATGGTGGACCATCTTCTTGAACTGCAGCATCCCGTCCTTGTATGGCTGCCATGCGAGGATTCTCCGAGGCAGGCAGTTCCATGCGCTCAGCACGCAAGCAGGGAAAACATTGACAGGCAGACAGCCGCCAGGCACGCACGTTCTGGAAGACAGCCAGGCAAGTTCTGGCAATGATATTCAATGAATGTGTCAGTACTATTCTGCCTGCCGAAACCTTCACATGTTATGCATGTAAATGCGACATAATAGGCAGAAGATCTAAACGGAAATGCGATGTCCTCAGCTGTCTACGGTAAGCCTGACCGGTCTTGGCTACTGTACTGGTTATAATGGTGATTTCCGAGATGTAGAAGTTATCATGTTTCAACACCGACCCTGTGCTACCTGGGAGAATACCCTGTCTGACCGGCCTTGACTGCTGTAATTGTGATAATGGTGTTGTACGAGCGGTAGATGTGATCATGTTTCAATATCAAACCTGTCCTCCTACATAAAGGCATACCCTGTCTGCTGAAGAGCGCAAACTAGACTGAACGCCGTGCGTTGAGAAGTCTCTGAAGATCAGTCTGCAGTAGTCAGTCAGTTATCAACCACTCCGTAAGCAATTGATCGTGTCCGCTTCAGTTCTTCCTCGCGCACAGAATGGCCGGCGTTGAGCGGTATCAGTTGCTAGAAATGGGGTGCCCAGCGGTGGGCTGCCCTAACGTCTGGTAAGTCATACTAGTAGAAGATGGGACACAACCATCTCCACACATGCATTGTACACACTTTTAGTTTCCGCACTCTTCTCATCACTTCCCTGCAGCACCTCATTGCATATCTACTCAATCCGTTTTTTGTACCCATTAGTTTTTCGGTTTTCACCCTGATGGGATGGGCCATCATTGGCAGAAAAATATAATTGGTTGACAGTTTAACATGACATGACGTATGCAGCAAAGAGTCCGTATTTTGAGTGTTTGAGTTGAGGTTTACTATTCAGGACAAAGCCATTGTGCAAGTAAAGAATCTGTTGAAATGTACTCAAAAGAGTGGGACGTCGGCGGAAATTGAGACTGTGTGGAGATTTGCATCACCAGAGACTTTGCCTTCGTTCTCACTGTAAATACTATTTCCAATGGCTCGGGAGTATAGGAGTACTGTTTGATGTTGAATCCATTATCATCTGATCTGTATGCAGCAACCCAGTCAACTGGAAAAGCGTCGCTTGTGATGGTGTGTTGGAGATCAGCCAGAGGGGGAATTTGAGATGCGTTTGCACTAGACGTTCATCCACGTGTGTTAACGGCAAGCAGATGTATTCGTTTATCTTCGACTGTGGACTTCAAGGACCGGACTCTCCACATGACCTTGGCCTCAGCCGATTCCGCGAAGCAGATCGCCAGAGCATCAGCCACGCCATGGCTGCAGCAATGAAAATTAAGCGCCATTCGTCCAACGATCTGGCATGGCTGAGCAGCCTTTTGGCCGCCATAGCAGAGCAATATGGAGCACCCCGATAACTGATTCGGATGTAGAAATAATATGCTTGCACTCGGATGGCGAGCCAAGGATAAATTTATAGAAAAAAAAGGATCAAGAAACTACAAGTTCCGCTATAATGTCCACGAACACCACTCGGTTTTGCATGATTCTTGTTCGCATAGCTTCCCCATTTATTGATCTTCGCATCTTTGAGCCACACAAGTTGTGTGTTATGTTGCTTTGCGTCCTTGAATCGTGGTTTGACCGCATTTTTCAGTGGTCTTGCCAGTATCGTCAACGACGTGCATGAACATCCGCCAACGTCCTTCACAGCTGAGACTTTCAGCTTGTGCTTGTCTTGGTTGCGCTCGCCTTCTCCTCCTCATGTTATTTCTATAACTTAGAACCTTCCAAGTTGGAAGGCTGTTGGAGTGCGCATCCAAGATATGCTAGAGCTATTAGCCAGTTAGTTGTAGAACGTCAGTACCGTCGGTCAGTGTCGTGCAATGTTATCGCATGAGCTGATTGTTTAGTAACTGGTGGTATTAGTGGACATAATAGCGTAACTTGTAGTTTCTTGGTCCTTTTTTCTTTCATCATTCTTTCTTCATGACTAATACCGCCGAAGTCGCAACTTCTAAGTTCTTCTTTTCTTTACGATAAATAACATGCTGCAGTTTAAATAACTACATCGTATACTTCCGTAACATATACTTACAACCCTGACTCGGTCTTGCCCTGCAGAACTGATTCAATGAACAGTCAAACGTGTAGTAATATTGTGTCTTGACTCTGAAACTAAAAATACTTTGTTCTACATGTTGATCACGACCTATGGCACACTTGTCGCTGTGTGTGTGTGTGTGCGCATGCGTGTGTTTTTTTGATTGATTGATTTGGTTGATTTTTATTTCACGGATCCTCGAGAGGCAAATAGATGCCTATCGAAGGGAATCTCCTAATGTGTCCGTGTGTCCGTCACCCCGCTGCGTATGTTTTTGTTGTTGAGACATGCAAGATTGCATCTGTGTGTGTAATGTTGTCTTGGCATGATGCAATGAGAAGGGCTTTTTCTGGCTCATGTTAAAAGAAACACACAGCAGCGTAGTCAAAATAACGTAGTGCTTAGTGGTCACCCTCACACATACATGTACATGGCATGGCGTGGGTGATCAACTCAGCATTGATGCACTTGCATGTTTTTTGAGCGAGATACATGTAAAAATCTTACAAGTGACATCATGAAAGTACGCAGAATGCCACTTTTTTATTTTTTTATTTTTACTATTGAACACTCACTGCATGATGAACTAAAATGAGGAGGAGAACTCGGCACAATGGTACATATCCAGCAGGACGGAGTGGGTGGGACCTGTGAACCTCAGCCGACCAAGGGTCTCGGCATCACAGCTGCACATGTGCACCAAAGGAAACAAAATGGGGATAGGAGGGGCGGGGAGCAGGACAGCAAGAACTCTAAGGGAAGGAAAGAGAGGAGGGAGGGGAGGAAACCAGGAAACTTGTTAGTTTGCGAGTTATTCCAAGATATGAGTGCAAACAAGTACGCAAACTATGTCATTCGGATCTTCCCAAGTTGTACATTGTACTGTTGAGATACCGAATTCAAATAAATCATTACCATACCATACCATACCAAACAAGTACAAAGATAGCAGTATCAAGATAATGATGCTGAGGTGAAAGTAGAGGCTGATTGCCGTGCAGTTTTGACGAAAGATTAGAGTGAGAATGGACGAGAGTTAGAGAGAGATAAAGACAGATGGATTGGGAGTTTGATGATAAGGGAGTGCTCCGAGAACATGAACAGGGTCGTAGTTTCTACCAAAACCTGTAGATCAAAAACGAACGTACGCTACGTCCTACACTACCGCCTTCCACTACACTAGACTTCCGTCGCGGCCACAGTGCTGCAGCAGACCTGTTGTTTGTTGTTGTTTTCTTTGTTTGAGTTCGCTAAACCCAAACGGACAGAACTGTCCAGTGACAAGGGAGCGAATGATGAGCGTCATAATCACTATGCATCAAAACATCTCTGGGCAAAATGAAACAGACTACAAGAAGGGTTTGCACAACATTAGTACACAAAGGGGAGTACGAGAACAAAGGCGCGGCAGAAGTCTAAGCAAGAAAGCAATCGACGCCAGAGATGTTTTTGTCCACCGAAAACAGAGAGAGAGCGAGAGAGAGAGAGCGAGAGAGAGAGAGAGAGAGAGAGAGAGAGAGAGAGATAGAGAAAGAGAGAGAGAGAGAGAAAGAGAGAGAGAGAGACCTGCTGACTGCTCTCCACCACCAGTGGGTGCACACCGCGGGAGATTAAGGAGCTTCTCGAGTCAGGCGATCTTCTATTTGTGTATTCTACCGACGGCCATGTACATATACGTCCTACAACTGCATGAAAAGTCACGTATATCATAGTACTGGTGGCGTGAGAGAGAAAGCAGGAAAATATTCCATTGACATGTCAGTCAACGGCAGAGTCGTCAACGCAGTGGTCGTACATGGTATATTGCGTATGAGGTGTTTTCGTGTACATGTAGATCCCTTCGCCTCATGATTCATGAGCCACATAACAGCCACGGCCTGCAGCCACCAGGCTCCGAAACACATTGACAGCTCCACTCCGCTTTGACGTGCACACTTGCAGTCATCATTTTGACTGGGTCTGTGAATGTCATGCAGAGCTAGCAAAGACCCGTGCGCGGCCAGGACAAGCAAGGAGGGCATGCATGACCTGGGCTAGAGCTGCGCTCGTAAGATGCAAACGTGCAAACGGCGTCGACATTTATATCTGCGTGTCTGCCAACACGTCTTGCGGTTTTCCTGTTAGAAAAATGCCTCGAGCGCGACAGGTAATGAAACAGTGTCAAAGTACAAAGTAGGTCTACATTATGCTACCTTTCGAAGTATACTACAAACAGAAGCACGATAATTAACATGTCGTGATATCGTGCTTCTGTCCCCAATACTAATACCAGTTATCCATGTGCTCATTCAGGAATAATGCATGCGGAAAGGCGGTTGAAGCATCATTATTGTATTCGATAATTGTTTAATATCAATGGTCAAACGAGTGAGACAACCACATCCCGGAAAGCTATGACTGGTATAGTAGATCTACTGGTCAACTGACGTGCAATATTCTACCTGATCATGTCACGATATCATGCTTCTGTTTGTAGTATACTAATACCAGTTATCCATGTGCTCATTCAGGAATAATGCATGCGGAAAGGCGGTTGAAGCATCATTATTGTATTCGATAATAAATTATTGTTTAATATCAATGGTCAAACGTGTGAGACAACCACATCCCGGAAAGCTTTCACTGGTATAGTAGATTTACTGGTCTACTGATGTGCAATATTCTACCTGGCCCTGGGATCGCGGCGGAGGTCTACGTGTCGTACATGTCGAAAGTTTGCTGCGCGCCAAGCCTGTACCATGTGTACTGGCTATTTTGGTGATATGATAGCCTCTGCTAGGCACAGTGAGAAGGCGTGTGCTTATACTGCTGCCAGTGCTAGTGCCGGTACTGCTGCTGGACACGCCAAAGAGAGCCAAATCGCGCTCTACTCTAGCCTCACGTTCTCCGTTGCACCGAAGCTACATTCACCAACATTACCATCGTCCCAGTTTCTGTCTTGCCATAACTGAGATGCAATGTTTCAGCGTCACGATAAAACTGAATGCATGATGTGTTTTGTTTGTCTATTTAGTGGATAAAGGAGAAGAACATTCCTCGTTAGAGTTGCAACATTCCTCCTGCGTCTGCGCGTAGGTACTGAAGAAAACGTTTCTTTTTGTGATTGGGACGAATTCACCAGCACGAGCAACAGATAGTTGCGAGCTCCAGCCGTTTACCGCCCTGAGTACATGAGTGATCGGATCCCCGATAATCATCCCTAACATTCTAGAATATGCAAGTAATGCGTATGTGCACTGTTTGAAAACTACCCTATATAACAGGCTTGTAACGGTCAGCCATATTGCGATGAAGAAGGCATTTGGTTTAGATAGAATGACCCCAACTGCATTAGTTTTACAACGGTGTCATCTGTATTCGTTTGAGCAACGAGTTAATTTGAAACTATACGTTTTGGTCTATCGCTGCTTGTCATCAATTACTAGCCCCCTCTTTCAGTCACTGTTTCTCCTGCGTTCAGTTGGCCTGCACACAAATGCTCGTACTCGTGGCCAGGATACAGCTGCCTTAGTATTACCTACTGTACATATTGGGTATGGACTGCGCTCAGTTTCTTTTCTGGCGGCAGGTCGGTGGAACACTCTTCCTCCAAACTGTCGTCAGGCACAATCTGCTGGTTCTTTTGCTCACCTCACAAAGATTCACCTAGGGTTCCCTGTAACAAGGCCATGCCTGTTCGGACTCCCCTAGTCAAATAATAAATACTACTACTACTACTACTACATTCTCCTCGTGGACTGTCCATTGAGCACTTAGATGGAGTATCGGAGTCGCTATTCCCCATTATGGTGAGCACATTCCGTAAAAGTAGAACTACGAATCGTATCATCAGCACGAAATACGAGAAAAAATGGCATTGGTCAAAGTTTTGATCCTTTCACTGCAATTTCAAAGACCTGTTTTTCGAAAAATCCATTATTACCTGGAAAAATGAAGCCAGATGGGAAGAATTCAATGGTAGAGCATTCCATACAAACTTCCGGCAATTGTTATTCGCAGTCATTACTTGCAAAGCAGATCATTATTACACCATACAGGGGCATCGGAAGGCATTTTAGTGTGGTACGGTCAGCCATCTGAAGTACAATTTACTCGTGGGAGTGTGGTTACTGAGCCAAAAATGTGGAAATTGAAATCCAGATCAGTGTATTTTATCAAAAAGTATTCTTTCTAGACCAAAGAGTGGTATATTTGATAACATTTAATAACGACAGAAATTTTTACGATACTTCTCCAGACGTTTCGTTGTTCTGAACAACATCGTCAGTGGATAAAGAAATCCACTGACGATACTGACGATGTTGTTCAGAACAACGAAACGTCTGGAGAAGTATCGTAAAAATTTCTATCGTTATTAAATGTTTAAAAATTCGACGAGGAGACAATAATTTTAATATGACAATAAGTAGCAAACAACAACAACTAATCCACGAAACAAAGCAGCAAATGACAGACCACGGAGATCTACAGCAGATTACAACCGGACCTATGAATTCACGGTAAAAATACAAAGGAAACAATCGGAAAGGACGACGACTGACGTGAAGGCAACGGCATTCAGGGTTGGCGTGGGTGGTGAAGGTGAGACGCAGGACGATGCAAGTGAGGAGGAGAGTCAAACCGCGGTGGATGACGGAGCAGGTTCTGATTCGGACAGTGAGGGAGAAGGTGAGCTGAGTGAGAGTGAGAGGGAGTGTGAGGGTGTGCGCGTGAGTCGAGATTGTTTGCGTCCGTCTCGTAATAACAAGCCTTCAGTATACAATCATTTGGTTTCTAGTACTGACTGTTGTCGTACTTATTCTGATTCCTGTTTTTCTGTTTTGTGCCGTGCTCGTCATGGTTATCTTTTGCAGTTACAAGTTTTGGAAGCTGTTTGTCAGCGCATTCATAAGCCGAATTTGTGTGTCCAGAAAGATAGTGTTATTACCCTAAAATTGTTCAAATAATGTTCTGTTGTGTAGTGTGGCAACGTTGTTGCCACTTGTGCCTAAATGTGTTTTGTCACCTTCTTGTTTATGATTGTTATTATTATTATCATTCGTTCTCACTTTTTTTTTTGTTTTTGTTTTTTGTTGCTGATACACACTTGTCACGCTTAGTTCTTACTTGTATACCCTTGTTTTCTGCACACTTTTGTGAGAAATCGCACCTCGATATTCTAGTGCTGTCATTGTATCGTGTCACCCTACCTTGATTGCTATATTATTTCCTTTGTTCTCATTTTGTTCTTTAGTACAACGGTGATTCCTGAAGAGTGTTGTACGAAAACTTGTTCGAATCATCTTTTTTTCCATTGCCCTTTTTCTTCTTACATGTATTTTTCCTTACCCTTTAGGTTGTTTCTTGCATCGTCTCCATCGCTTACATTGTTAATAAAGTAGTCCACATGTCGCTTCAGCTCGTCCTACTTATTGTCATATTAAAGTTATTAAATGTTATCAAATATACCACTCTTTGGTCTAGAAAGAATACTTTTTGATATTACAATGAGAGTGAATAATCAACGGCTTGTCCACCAACTCTTTGTCAGTGTATTTTATTGATTTACGGGGTGACTGGGTCCAAAATTGGTACAGTCAATACCGTAGTGACCATACTGTGTCCGATGCCCCTGCCATAGCGCTTATCGGTGGCCATAGCTGCAAAGTACGTTCGGGCCTGATTGGAAATTTCTATTTCCATTGCTATCAGGTTCGGCCTCATTTCCTCTGTGCTGCGCTGACGAGTCCACAAAGGACGAAACAGTTCTGTCCGCAGATTGAGTAGCTAGAGTATAGTTACGTAGTAATCATGTGATCGCTGTACTTAATAAAGGAGTCAAATGTCTCTGTTTGTTGCATGTGTCAGAGTTTTTCGTTGTCTGAGCCTTTAGCATGAAACTCAAAGTACGAGTCATAAACTCAAACACAGATTTCCTCCCACCTTCTGAACACAAATATCGTGCTGTCAATCATAGTCAGTCACAGTAAATTCTGCGACTCCTGACTGAGCACAGCGAAAGAGTGCAAAAACGTATTTTTCACTCACAAAATTATTTTCAAGTAGCTACTCTTGTTCTGCGCAACTCCATAAAACCTGCCTTCGCGGTTATTGTTTTTCCTGGTTTTTTTTTACTAAGTACACAATCTACTCGTCAGAAGGGGAGAAGACAACAGAGTATACAATAACAAAACAGCAGGGAGAGTAGGGCTGCAAAGCAAGCCTGTGCTGGTGAGGCAAGCCCACAACACCGACCTATGGTCTCTGCGTTAACGTGAGTTGCGCACCATAGCCTAAAAGAAGGGTTGTAGTTGAAGTTTGTCGTGAGTGTGATTGCTCTAGTAAACCATTGCCCCATGTAATGGACCGTTGATCTGTGAGTGAAAAGTGATGTGTTTGAAATTGCAGCACATGCCGGTAATGGTGTTCCAAGGTGTAGTGTGCAGAGAATCTACTATAGAGATCGACCATCTTGCAGATAAATACACTTCCTGGGCTCCTTTTGTTTCTCCAGATACCACAGCGTCTGCTGGACCTAAATCACACAACTCCAAAGTATAACAAGGTGGACAGCAAGACGATGTGCATCTATTGAAATCGTCATCTCGTACAGCGAGCACCAAATGTGGCTTCAAGTGTGAGAGTTCCAACTGGTCAGCCGGTCATCCCTTCGCACAATCTCACATCTACTGACACACACCTGCAACCAGCTTGGCAGGAAACAAGCTTTAGTCCACAGGCAGGTATCAGGCTGCATCCGCATCGCAGAGGGCCTACGGACAACCATACCAGGGAAAGAGGTCAGACACCTGTATTGGAAGCTGCAGATTGGGATAGATCATCAGCCATGGCAACACCAAAGGAAACAAGAAGCACTAGGCAACAGGAAGCAGAAAGACAAGGCTTTGACACGCAGTTTCAGGGGCTGAATATATCACCAGCGATTGCAGGTCAACCTCCCGGCAAGTTCACCTCGCATCAGGCGCAGACGTCCATTGGACGTCAGGCAGCGCAGACCTCCGGGATGACAAGCGCAACACCAAAAAGTCACAACTCCTATGCTTCTGCAGTTTCTTCTCCTTCCTATCTTGACAGTATCCTTGCTGATAGCAGAAGTATGGATACCGCTGATCATGTGGACAAGCATGTATCCACACCTACTCAGGAGTATGCAGCCAAACAGGATAATTGGAGCGCTGATACTCACACACAAGTGGAAGAATCACAGGCCGAGAATGGACAGGGGCAATTGCACGTTCAAGCGCTGAATCAACGGCAAAATCTGGGCTCAGACCAAGCCAGCAAGCAAATGGTGGTTGATATGTTCGAGTGGACAACCGGCACGTTGGAAATCTTGGAGCGGCTGGAGTACCCAGAGCAGTTTGAGAGGGAGCAGATTCCACTCTCACCGGAAGCAAAAAAAATGCTTGACAGGCGGACCAAGGGTGGAGAAGCCATTTCTGTCAAAGGGGTAAGCCGCCACTTATGAAAGTTTTAGCTCTCTGCTATTCCAAGTTCCAAGCCTTGATTTGTGGGTGGTGGCGTTGTGGCGTTCCTACAAACGCGAAAAAACCCAACAACTACATGTAGTTCAACTGATCCCAGCACGAACCGTGAATTGTTTTCCTTCAAATGTTTCCAACTTTAATAGACAGCATTCAGTTGCATTCCCTGCTTTGTTAGATTTTAAATGGCTGCCACGTGACAGTGTAGGTAAATTGACTGTGCACTTTCTTTCCCTCGTCCTCTGATTTAAGCTTAGAAAGTGGCAGCCTTAGGCCATGTAACAATTGTCCCCAATTTAGCCTCCAGTCCATCGCCACAGCAGTAGTTTATGATAGATGGACCCAGCTATATACGGTAGTGTGCGAGCATGAGCCACCTTCTTGTAGTAGCCATCTGAGCTATTTTCTTGTACAACTAAGGGTAGTAACTTGCACGCTAGACATTCCATGCGAGTCAATGAGAGCTTTCGAGAAACGGCTACAGACAATGACGTACTTTCCGTACTAGTGAGACCATCCCTGATCACTGATTCTTACCAAGGCTAAATTTGGGTCCGACTGTAGGTATGGATGTAGAACTGTGCAATAGTTGTTGTCTTACTCCTTGTATGAAAGTCTCAGTAAAAACATTTACTTCATTCTCCTTTTCCCTTTTCTAACTTTGTATTTCAGACTGTCGACGATGCCAACATTTATATTCTTCTGATGTCGATGCAAGTCAGCAGCTGTAATCCAGCTATCCGTGACCAGGTGAAAATCGAGCTGAAAGAGAGCCTTGCCCACTGGCAGGAAACTGGCGTGGAGCTGAAGAGCAACGTGTCCAAAGACCTCATCAAGCAGCTGTTTCTCGCTCTGGACGGCAAACGGCCGGAAGAAATTGTGCCAGCCTACTCACAACCATTAGTATTTGATGATACAGTCGACGCTGCTTCATTCTCCAAGACAATGTCAACTGTCTTCGGAGCATACCAGAGGGGAGCGCACAGAACAGACCAGCTAGAGAGATCATTCCGTGAGGATCCTAACAACAAGGCCAGAAAGCCAAACCTCAGGAAGAATACCCAATACGACGACTTCAAATGACCGATTGCCATCCTACTTTAAAGGGGAACTCCGGTCCAAAATCACCCCCATTTTTTATTGCGGAATCCATTAGAGTATGTCGTAAGTGGTAGAATGGCGAAAACCGGAAGCTTCTACGACAAGGATAACATACCTAAATTACCAATTGCAATTTTCCATATTTGGCACGAGGGGGCCCCCTCCAACCCTGTGACGTAAAAGGTTCTCAGCCCGGTCCACTCAGATGAAATTTTCAAATAATTGAAGCAAGAATGAAAAGTCCTTGGCCATTGTTGAAGTGCTTGTTGTTCTGTGCCATGCCCGATTTATTGTCACGACTCGCTGCTGCGTCTCTGGATGCGACAATGTCACGAAGAAAGAGGCGCCTGCGGGCTGTCGTAGCATGGCTTTCCTCTGGCTGACGCGAACCTGACGACAGCTTGGCTATGGAGAGTATGTTGGAAGGATTTTTCTCCGACGAAAAATAATCGTGTCTGCACTGAGCATTTCACTGAGATGTGCTATGAAAGAGATTTCCAACAAGAGTTTGCACAAAGCATTGGTGGCTATAAGCAGAAGAAGCAGCGACGCTTGAAGCCAGGGTCTCTGCCATCCTGAAACTTGGCGGTGCATGTCATACTAATAGTTAGTAGCTCCTCTACCTCTGCTGCCAGCAAAAGCAGACCATCTTCGATTTACTTCCAGGAACGTGAACACGATGATGTAAGTGAACGGCATGATTTTGTGCCGTCCAGAACGTAGCTCTAAACGACTACAGTCCTACTCAAAGTCCTCTACTCAAAATCCTAGTCAGTGAAGTCGAGAATTGATGTAATGTTCATGGAACGTTATCATGTGTGTTATTTCGGTTCTCTTTATCTGTAAGTTTCCATTGCGTTACTTTCCGGTTGCAGCTACACTGCCACAAATACAAGGTACAGTATAGTGATTTGTATCATTTACCATTCCTTGGCCTTGTATTATTATAAGAAATATAAGGTACTTTTCAAATTTCGCAACCTGACGGCATGTATTTGAGGAGAGAGCATGGCTGACACGGGGTTCAGACCAGCACAAAATCCTGGAGAGCATCGTCATGGGCAAGACGTTGCTCAACGATATGAAGCAGCTCACCAAGTTCTGCCATACAGGCAGTCTGGAAAATTTCCATGCTGTCATACTGAAGTGGGCACCAAAACGTGTCCACTTTTCGTACAATGGCATGAGAGCACGGGTACAGTTGGCATGTCTGTCCCACAATGCCAATATAGGGAGAGCGCACGCCAAAACCAAGGAGGGTGTGCTCAGGTACAGGCTGGAATACACCAAGAGCACAAAGCACAGGGTGGCCAAGAAGCTGCACGACAACGTCCTGCAACTTCTTGAAGGACCTGTTGAACGATGTGCATACAACCATTCTCGGCATTCGCAACGGCACACGGCACCGGCACAACCCCATGCTCCCGAACACAGTACAGTCTTGTGCCATTGTATCTGTCAACTTTACCAGATTGTTCATGCAGCTGCATTGGTGCAAAGCATGCGCCCACCCGAAAACACAAATATTGCCCGAGTCAAGAATAATAATATTATAAATCGTGTCTGTCAACTGTTTTCTACATTCTGCATGCACATGTACCAATGATTATGTGAACGTCAACCAGGCCAAGAAGCATTATCATCATCATCATCATCATCATCATCATCATCATCATCATCATCATCATGTGACCAAGCCGCTTTTACGGGCAACAATATTATGAATATAAAACGCAAGGTATTGTAAGAGCAATTTTTCTGAAATTAATGTTAGAACACGAAATATAAAAATGCATTATCACGCCGGGCCGTAGCCACTTTTATGGGAAAATTCCAATACAAGGCAATAAGAAAACGAGGATGAAGTTAACCTTTAAACCCAAAGAAAAGACAAAAGATGTCAACAATAGAACTACAAATATAAAAAACAAACATCAGGTCATAAAAACTACTTTAAAACATAACCAAATGACAGCAAAGCGTGGAGAATGAGATTGACTTACAAAACAAAAGTAGTCCTACTATGCTTACAAAACAGAATCTACCTACACCACTAAGGAAGAAACATTAAATGATTGCAGTCTCACAAACACCGGCCTCTATCTAACGACCCATCAAACAATAACTCCTGAAATTCTTGACTGACTTTTTCTGGTAGGAGCTACGGCAGCCACGAAAACAGGTCACTGCCCAACGGAGTAAAGTGAACGAGAGCAGGCACCGCAATCGACCCATAACCAGCGAGTAGGCCAAGTCACTGTGTTTATCGACATACTGGGCTGCAAGACACTTGAGAAAGCGGTCTGCCTCCCGGCCACACATGCCATTCGTGGCGAAAACCAACAGGGTGAACGTGCCTCTACTACCATCATCATCATCATCATCATCATCATCATCATCATGTGACCAAGCCGCTTTTACGGGCAACAATATTATGAATATAAAACGCAAGGTATTGTAAGAGCAATTTTCTGAAAATAATGTTAAAACACGAAATATAAAAATGCATTATCACACCGTAGCCACTTTTATGGGCAAATTCCAATACAAGGCAATAAGAAAACGAGGATGAAGGATGAAGGATGAAGTTAACCTTTTAACATCATCATCATCATCATCATTTTTTTTTTTTTTTTTTTTTTTTTTCATGTGGCCAAGCCGCTTTTACGGGCAACAATATTATGAATATGAAACGCAAGGTATTGTAAGAGCAATTTTCTGAAAATAATGTTAAAACACGAAATAATTTATAGAAATGCATTATCACACCGTAGCCACTTTTATGGGCAAATTCCAATACAAGGCAATATCATCATCATCATCATCATCATCATCATCATGAGAAAAGCCTCTTTTACGGGCAAAGCAAATGTATATCATTACATTATGTAAAGTGAACAGGGGAAATCAACACAAAACCAACCGGAAAATGATGAAACACAAAAGCAGTCAAGGAAGTAAATCAATACAAAAGCAAGCAATGAACACAGAGTAATAAAAGGGGAAAAACCAAATAGCATTATATTAAGTTGAGGCCAAAGGCAGCACCCTACTCCGCCTGGCGGCACTGGGCCAGAAATGAGTTCGGCTGTCGCCTCTTGCCGTACGAACCGCGGCAACCTCATCATCCTCATCATCATCATCATCATCATCATCATCATCTGGCGGAGCATGGCTTTCGTCTCACCAAGCGTGACTTCCGGGATGCTCTGGCATTGAGATATGCATGGCCGCTAGCCAATACACCAGCAACCTGTGTGTGTGGTGAGCTGTTCTCAGTTGAGCATCAGCTATGTTGCGCCAGGGGCGGCTTCCCGACACTTCGTCATAACGAGATACGTGACCTGCTGGCGAGGGAATTGACTGAAGTCTGCACTGCCGTTTCGACAGAACCAGCGCTGCAACCTCTTTCTGGTGAGAGGTTTCCTCTTCGGTCAACGAACCGCCGAGAGGATGCGCGCCTGGACATAGCCGCTCGAGGGTTTTGGACCCGTGGGGAGGAAGCTTTTTTTGATGTAAGGGTATTTTGCCCAGATGCTCCTTCCTACGGGTCCAGAACCCTTCCTGCATTGTACCAGCAGCACGAGCGGCGTAAGTGGAACGAATATGGGCCAAGAGTCACAAATGTAGAAAGAGCCGCTTTCACACCTCTCGTGTTCTCTGTGCATGGTGGTTGTGGGAGGCTGTGCAATGTGTTCCTCAAGAGACTGTGCCAGATGCAGGCCGAGTCATCGGGATCTCACTATTCCCAGGTCATTGGTTTACTCCGCTGTCGGCTGTCTTTTGCTTTGCTGCGTGCTGCTGTGTTGTGCATACGTGGGGCTCGGTCACGGTACCACCATCCGGCGAGATGTTTTCATGATGTCTCGATTGCCGTGGCCGAGTCAGGTCTAGTTTGTTAAGTATCGTGCTGTGTCCGGACTGTGCATGCGGGATTGGTATGGCGCTTACCCTTTTGTTGCTGTTTTGTTGCTTTCATGCCTTTAAGCGTGTAATTGTGTTCAATTGTTGTATTTCATGGAAAAACGATCTTTGCGTTGGATTCATTTAAACTATTATTTGTGTAGGGTTCCACTCCTTCATCTTGGGAAATTGTGTTTTGTTTGCCCAAAGAAGTGGCTTCATCATCAAAAAAAAAAAAAAAAAAAAAAAAAAAATCATCATCATCATCATCATCATCATCAAAATATTTGCCGGGTTGGAAGGTGGGATCAAAAAAAAAAAAAAAAAAAAAAAAAAAATCATCATCATCATCATCATCATCATCATCATGTCATGAATCCTGACGCTTCTTCCTACGCGTCCAGAAGCCTGGACGCGCTCTTCCGGCAACATGAGGGCGCTAAGAGACTGCAATACCAGGAGAGAGTAGTCAATGTTGAGCGTGGTGCCTTTGCACCTCTTGTGTTTTCCGTGAATGGGGCTGCTGCGCCGGCATCCACGGCCTTCCTCAGGCGCCTTTGCCTCCTTACAGCTCAATCTTCGGGAGGTAGCTATTCGTCGTTGATGAGTTATTATCGTTGTCGGGTGTCTTTCGCGCTGCTACGTTCCGCTGTGTTGTGTGTCAGGGGTGCTCGGTCGGCCCGTCATCGTCCAGTTCACATGCTTCGTGAGTTGGCGATGGTGGAGGGTCGGGTTCCCCTGCAGTGATTGGTGCTGCGCCGAGCTAGTTTGGTGTGAAAGTGTAACTAATGTTATTATTCTTATATATACATCAAGTAGTACTAAATAATTGAGAGGCTTTGAATCGTTTTTATCAAAATCAAAATATTTGCCGGGTTGGAAGGTGGGATCAAAAAAAAAAAAAAAAAAAAATCATCATCATGTCCAGCTGCTTCCTCAAAGCCCCGGTGCGCATCTGCATTGGCTTCTGGGTACAGTTGCTTTATCCTTGCTACCACACAAGACGGTATCACACGTCGCTGCTTGCGTCCAAAGTATCCATGGGTGAACCATGTGTATTGTCTATACGCCACATGTCTCCAAATCCTGCACAAAACAGTTGGAGAGATGTAGATACACATACCACGAGTGTCTTCATGATTGTGTAAAAGTAAATAGTTTCAGTGTAAATAGTTTCGGATTCGAATTAATATTTCTATGGG